AGTATATATATATATATATATGGATTCAGGTGTATATATATATATATATATAGTAGAACTTTCTTCTTCAAACATGACCTATCTGTATCCGCATACTTGAACTCACACCGGGCTGGTAGAAGACGTTGATTGCAGATATATTTGATGTGTTTGTGATTTTATATATATGCGTTTGACTGCTAATATATGCAAGTGCATCTACGAAACAGGCGTTGGATCGCGTCATAGTTAAGATGGTATGGATAGGATCTAGAGCATAACGTAAATCCTAAAAAAGGCTGGACAAATATGTGGTTGTCAACTATGTGTGATTATCAACTATGCGTGATGTATAAACGACTATTTTAACATCGTATTCAATTGCGGCTTTGACATAATTTCCACCAGAATATACATATTCGCAACTAATCAGATGTAATCACTTTACAGATGTATATATATTCCACTGGGAAAGAGCCTCTGCTAAAAACTACTAGAAACTATGCGCAAATGAAGAGAGTTATTCGATGACCTTTTCACCGAGCGTGCCCGTAAGTTTGGACTTACCCGTAAGTTCTTGCAGTTCTTTACTTTGCATCCACTCGTGATATTTGGCCACGTGATCTTTCAGGTACGGCACGAGCACAATTTTAGAGCCTATCAATACGGTATCCTCGTTGACAATCATCGTGAAGGTGATACCTCTCAACTGTGAACGTACTTAGGTACGGATTTTATGAATAGGATGCCTGTAAGTTCTTTCCCTTCTTTCCAATAGGTATAGCTATATATGGGTACGTGATACTTTCATCCAGTTGTATTTATATATTGTATTATTGATTATATATATATATATATATATATATATATATGCACAATATATACATATAATATAGAGTGATGAACAGTCACCATCTGATCATTACACAACTAGCCCAACAAGGTGATCTGATGGACATAGACTCATAGTCTCTTGGAGTGATGCACACCTGAGCAGCTTGCACAGTGCCTTTATCTATAGCAATTGTTGACTCATACAATACATATTTAGCGGTATTTCATTGGTAGAAGAATCTAAATATATTTTAAAAGTCTTTTCTATTGGTAGAAACCGGCATTGTATACTATACTCACACGTGCAGCCGGGTAATTAGTGATTACCAGGATATACATATATATATAAACCATGTACTTTTGAAGTCTACATATACATTAAAACACAGGTATACTTTTGGGGCCTGTATCTTCTTTCTTCTACCAGTGCAGGAATGTATGGACTTAAGAGAGCCTGGTAGAAAGAGTATTACACTTCTCACCCAGCTCTCGACTGGAAATCATTCTAAGTGCGTTGTCATTATCACTACACGGAATAGACTACTACATGCTCCAGTGTTCAATCGTCGATTTAAAATAGCCCAAATTCGACCCAAAAAACAACCACAACGGATACTGCTTTACGCGACAGGCACGCCATGCAAGGAGTAAGTGAATACGATGACACTTTCACGTGTGATGCTTGATAACTATAGAGATATATCTCTTAGACAAGTGTATGTATCAATGAGTATATATCGTACGAATAAATTAAATAAACACACAAGTATACACATGAATACGCACACACACACGCACGCAGGTGTACACACACACACACACATATATATATATATATATACATATATATAATATATGTATATATTATATTGTATCTTATACACGACACGTGTGCGTATATATATATATATATATATATATATATATATATATATATATATTATTACTACACACACAACACACACACACACACACACACA